GTAATCCGCTCTCCTGTCAGCAGACTCTCGCTCAGATCAGGACTGGGATCAGTTTGCAGGTCGCTGCGTCGGCAGCCCGCCAGCTGTAAACTTTTTGCGTTTCTTCTGACTGAAATCAAACCTCTGCGGCGCAGTGATGCGGCTTGCCGGTTACTTATGTCCTACTACTGAGGAAGTTGCTGTTGAGTCACAAGATCCCGCCCCCCTAAAAAGGTTCCTCCCTCCGTCACTTTCAGGGGAAATTTCATACAGACCTGAGAGAAATCCTGAGAGAAATCCTGGAGGGTACCCGTGTCTGGTGCTCTATTTCCAAGGTATTTTAATAGAATGATGTCTTTTGGGTGAGTATGGGTTGGATAGGCCAAACCTGCTTTTACAAGTATAAGAGTATAGAGGAATTAATTTGATTATAAGAGTGTATAGTGAATAAGAGAGTATTGGCCAATTTAGGTACTGTTGCGCTTCTTTTTAATGAATAGATAATATAATCCTGTGCACAGCCAAAGACAGCATGGACTGCTCATCTGCCAAGTGCCAAAGAGGGGCAGGACAGTTGTCACAAATATATACAAAATTACAGTGCACTCCAGGGATGTCTAGCTAATTGTTTTATTGGTTTGTGCACATAACTACAAAGTTGCGAACAACCCTTCTGCCATTGTGGCTCGCTTGTTTTTAATGAATTTTGTCAATCAACAAACCAACTATCATTTTAAAAGAACTCCCAGCAAACAAACTAGGTTTAATAAAAATGATAAAATACCAATGTCTTTTGAAAAGTAAAGCAGTTATTGGTTGGTTTGACATTGGTCTTTTGCCATATATAGCTACCTTTTCTGGACTGAATCGGTAATGGCCGGTCATCTTGGCCTAAAAGCTACTAATCATCCACAAGGATGTATGGACAATAGGCTTTGGTCACTTATGATGGATAAGTTGAATCTTTTCTACAGCTGAATGTCAGTAAAATGTCTAGAAAACATGGGATTAGAGCTGGGTCACTAGAATATTTTAGTTTTTATAAAGATTCAATGGTTCTAATACAGAGTTAAATGTCTTTTATTCTAAATGCCTTCTAACAATTTTCTAATTCTTGGGGGAAAATATAATATTTGAGCATTAGCTTGGTGAAATTGAACACCATAAACAGCCTTGACTACCACGCCCTGGCATTACCAAACAGGGTGTAGACCAACCCAACAGTTTCATTTCGTTATTTCACAGTGTGGGTCATTTCTTCAGTCCTGATATTTCATTTTTCTCATGACTCAGCAGGAGTGACGTTTATCCTGAATGCAGCTGGCTGCCTTTTTGTCATACATGGAAGGAACCTTTCATCTGATCATCTGAGTCACAGCTGTTAATCAATGTGTGCGTATTAAAACACTACCATTTACAGAAGCACCACCCTGTAAGATAAATGGCATTGTTGTACTGCTTCTCATGACATTAATGATTCAGACTGGTTGCCAGTATCCAGCTCACCAGTGATCATTCATGCACTATCTGTGGTTGGTGTTTTCAGCCTTATCTGGCTGGGGTAGGAGATTTTGTAGGCTGATACCAAGACTGTAATCATACAAAGGAAATATTTTGTGTTGTTCTTTACAAAGAAATTACAAGAAGTCATTGTTTTCCAAATAAATTTGCTCATTGAGAAATTAAACACACCCACATGATGTAACAACAATAGGCAATACATTATTCATGCTTTGCTGAGAGTTAGATGATAAGATCAATACCACCCTGACATCTGTCTGTTAAATATTTGTTTTCAGCAGCCAGCAGCTGGTTAGCTAAGCTTAGCGCAAAGACTCGAAACAGGGGGAAATGGCTAGCATGGCTCTGCAAATGCTAACAAGATCCACCAGCACCAGTATAGCTCACAAATTAATATTTTATATGTCCTAAAATGTATTTATTCCATACAAAAATGAAAGTGGATGTGCCAGTGACGTTTGTGGCTCTGAGCAGTAACTTTCTGGAGTGTCCACTGGTTGTCCACCAAGAATTCTTTATCAGCTGATGACTCCAGCTGACTATTCACCATGAAGCCATGAGAGTGGTACTGGTCCCCTTATATAGACATTGGCAAACAAATAAAATGTCAAACTATTATTTCCCAGAACTGTAAATGAATGAAAGAAAATAATATTCATCACACCAGGTATATTCTGTATATGGCGCTAAGGTCACAGAGGACCCTGTATAATATAAAGAGTACTTATCAGACATACAAATTCTGAGAAATAGCAGCATGCATAGCAATCCAACATCTATGTACCGCTGAGAAGAATAAAGATGTGGAACTTCATGGAAACTGGGTTGTCACAGAAGAAAGATTTTTTTTAAGGAATTCCATGCTAAAAAGTATTATAAAAGACAAAAAATAAAAAGATCACTTTGGCATAAGTTTTCCAATTTTTTTTACTAAAACTACTACTACTATGTTTTACCATCATCATTACTGGAGTACACCTTTTAATGTTTATGACTGAAGATGTACTTTGTTCAGCATCTGTGTGTCTTTTGCAAAGCACACTGGGCACATTAAAAATTAGACACAATTATGGGACATTTTGGAAATTAGTTTGATAATCTAGCATCAGTGTTCATTTTCCTATGCTTGAGTATTTTGTTATGTTTTTGGAAAAGCACAACTGCCCAATTGTGTGAGTCTCCTTAATTCTAAATTCTAAATTTACACTCTGAGGTGTGGTCCTGTCAGACTGCTTGCAACAAATTAGAGGAGAGAAGACTCTTAATTCTTCATGGGTGAAATGGCCTGGTGACTCTCACCATTTTTCTTTGTAGATAAAGGGTTAAGGGTAGTTCTTTTTACCTTTTTCTAAATTTCTAAAGCTGATTGGAAAGATAATAGATGTGAAATACAGTGGAATCCATCACCACCACCTCAATGTGGTCATGCCATGTCTCTTTCATGAGACAAGCCTTCCTCATCAGCCCCACAGGTCCCATAACCACTCTGCTTGGCCGTATACCCACTGCACCGAGTGATTCCCACCATTCACTCCTTTTGGGCACAACCATTTGAAGCTGACTTTGGCTCTGGTTTTATCACTTAGCTTCATCTCTTCCTCCAACCTTAAACAGCACACTTCATACGTGAGCAATGGCCAAGGCAGTCACGGAAGCACTGTCTGATAACCCCAGACTTCGACTCTTCCTGGCAGACCACTCTTCTCCTGAGCCATCGACCATGCATACACCCGGCAGAGCATTGCCTGCAAACTACAATATTGACCTGCTATATATAATATTAGATTGTAACTAGCATTTACTGTTGTAATTGGTGGAAGTGGGCTAGTTATATCTACATTATATGCAGTATGGGATTTTGGTCCAGTTTAGGGTTAGTGACTTTCAAGAAAGATGATTAATTGGGTAGAAAAGAAGAAGACAATTCTGCTTCTCAATTTTTTATATACTTAAGTAAAGCTAGTTAGTAGTAACTTTCCACCATCGTCAACAACGACTAACAGCTAACATGTAGTTTTTTCTCCTCCCTTTTATACATTTTAGAAGATGCAATTCGTCACACAGGAGAAACATTTAGCTCATGCATTTTTTTTCAACTGGGCTGGCCTGGCGGCTCACTGCAAATGAGGACCAACCATGGTCAGGGGAGACATACCAAAGCCCTGAGCTCAGCCCAAGTGCAGCCGTCTCACAATATGTCAGCCGTGTTATTTTTACAGGGTCATATTAGAAAATCACATGACTCTGCATCTGCCCCACAAGGGCATTCCTCCATTACTGACCCTGAACAAACCCATAACCTCTCGTCCTCCTGTTTTTGCATCAGCTTGTTACAAGCTCCTGATTTCCAAAGTAGTATTTACCCCTGCCGTGTCTCAGCAGGCATTTCATGTGTAATGATAAATTCTTATATGAATTAAACAGCATGGAGTCCAATAGGTCAGAGCACAGACATTTAACCTGTAAATCCTGGTTGCCGCCTGTGTTTGCCTAGTTAAACACATTAGTGGGTGAGTGGCTCAGTCAGGCCTTGGGCTGAAACCTTCATAGGAATCAGGGTCGTTAGCCATGAGAATGATAAACAAGTCTGTGACATAATGTGGAAACACTGATCCCATTCATTGGTCTCATCGCCCACAAAACATTCAGCATGCCAGGCAAATCTCACACATATAAAGCAAATTCCTTGTGGTTGGAGGGGGACTATTGAAAAAAATAGCTGTTTATGAAATATCACTCTTTGTCCTGCTGACTTCTTCTCACATTCACTGAGAGTTGGGAGTCTGGGTGAGATTATGGGACAGGTGCCACTGTGGCTTTGTCTCTTTTCTCCCTGAAATATCATGCCAGGATGTATCTGTGACACACACACACACACACACACACACACACACACACACACACACAGAAAAAGAGTTCACACAAGATGGTTGCAGTTTATTTCCTGTCTGAGTGAGTGTGACTATTTTAACAAATATTACAGAGGCACTATTAATCTTCTTTAGGTCTGTTGGTCTGGATGTACATCAAAACAGTGGTCTGGAACCCAAACGGAAACATGTAGTAAATGCCCATATTGGAAAAGCATAAACTTGCTACCGATTAATGTCAACTGTACACTCTGGCAAATGTGGGCCCCTGTTATAATGACCAAAATAATTTAGTGCATGAACAGTGCAACTGAAACACGACATTAAATCTGCAGTAATGTGATGACCCACCTTCCTGGTAAATGTGCTTAGTTACTTTTCACCATGGATGTTCAGTTTCATCTGGGTCTATGGGGAAACGCAACAGGCGTCATTCCACCAGGAAACGTACAACAGCAGCGCCCCCGAGTGTATTTACGTGCTTTTACAACCCGCAGTACAAAAAAAGTCGAAGAGAGGGTCATAACGCTCCCGTTTCACTTTAAATAATAAATAATGAATAGAATATACTATATTAATATTATTGTCCACCAGGCTCATATTTTGTAACACGTGTGAGAGTCGAGTTACGAATCTGCGGCAGGGAAATAAAAAACACCGGACAGGAACCCACGTGTCTCAACGACCGAGGAAGTGCCAGACCAACAAGGAGGTTTCACTAGTTGTGGATGTTACTAAATTGCCCTACATCAGCTTTGACTCTGCTATTACTCTAACGTTATTTTATAACGCCGGCGGAGATTTTTCCAACATGTCTTCGTTCAGGAAAGCGCTGAAATCCCGACAGAGAAACCATCATGAAAGATCCCAGGCGAGTATTTCTGTTTTGTTAGCTAGTGTGTTACCCAGCTGCTAAGTTATGAAGTGACTTAATGAGACGTTGTCCACACACTATCACCGAGCTGATACATGTTATATATTATACGTTAGCCCCCTTGTGGCACATATAGTATTAACTTATATATAATCTGCCTTTACTGTATCATTTTGTTCGACCAGCCTGGCTCCAGGAAACAACTGGGATTGCTGGAGAAGAAGAAAGACTACAAACTTCGTGCAGAGTGAGTTTAATCCATAGACTGTATCACGTATAATAAACCTGTTTTATGTTTCTAAGGTTTGGATCCAGAATCATAAACTCTTACTGTCTAAGGCGCTTGAGAAGTAAGTCTTTGTATTTTTCTGTTATTTAAGTGACTACCACAAAAAACAAAACACACTCGCTGCTCTGCGAAAGAAGGCTCTGGAGAAGAACCCAGATGAGTTTTACTTCAACATGATCAGCTCTAAGCTGCAGGTAAGATGTAACATCTTTATCCAAACATCTGAGCAGAAGCATTACAAACTGTGCTTTTTCCCTAAAAATTTGGCCATGTATGGATTTAATCGCCTCTTTGGATTATATGTTTTATCAGAATCAGAATCAGCTTTATTGGCCAGGTGTGTCGGACACACCAGGAATTTAACTCTGGTACATTGGATCTCACTGTGCATGTACATATCCCCATGCAAGGAGCGAGTAAACAGTAAACCAACATAAGGCTGTGTAGTATGAGAAAATAAACAGTATTAACAAGCAACAAACAGTGCAAACAATGCAAAATAAATGGTATAAACAGGCATTAAATAATGCAGACAGACAAAGGAATGTTCATTGTGAACGAGATAAATAGGAATAAAGATAGAGTACTTAAAAATAGAGACCTGTACGGATCCATATAATCTGTACAATGTATACTGGAGGAAGGTATCGCACTGAGGGTTATTTGTCCTGTCGTACTGTTTTGGGTCAAGTGTTCATCATTATGGCATGTTGACAGGATGGAGTTCACATAGCAAAAAAGCCCAAGGAGGAAGTGGAGGTAACAGAGGAGCAGAAGAAAGTGATGAGGACACAGGATATCAAATATGTCGAGATGAAAAGGGTCTCAGAAGCTAAGGTAAGTTTTTCCGTCTTCTGTAATAAACCATGCTAAAGAGCCCCTGGTGCTTGACTGCCGTAACACAAATGTTTTTGCAAAACTGGAATGAAAGGTCATATTAAAGATGGACTTGATTATGAACTGATGGCTGGATAATTGGCTACAAAGCATTTTATGGAAAAGATTAGTGGTACATAATTAGGTTCCAAAGTTTTCTCAGATATGCTCATCTCCTTGCTTTCAAATGAATATTCACATTTTCACACTGCTGATTCAAATCGCATCGTGTGTACATGTTTACTGGTTTCATGATAAACATTTGGAATCTTTTACACTGTGTTGATGTGATTACTTTGCAGGCCAGTGTGCTTGATTAACAAATTGGCATCGCACTAAAAATATATGATGTGTAACTTCTCAGACTGCCCTTGGTTTTCTCAAATTAACAATAGAAGAGCTAAGAAAAGTCCCATTATGGCAAAAGTTTTAGTTCAGAAATCAGTTTGGCAATATCACATTTATTTATCTGCAAAGTAACAAGACGTTAAAGTACAGAAAGACAAAACTAGGGTTTGATGTAAGTTAGAAACGGTCTCCATTGCTTTGTTTATCCATTGGAGCTTGTTGACAAGTTTATTTTTCAACTAGAAAATGACCTGTGTTATATGTAGCTTGCTCACAATTCTTTAACAAACAAATGTAAGGGATCGAGATCAAGTTTTTTGTTGTTGTTAATGTGTTTATATATAAAAAAAATCACTTGTGGTTGTCTTTATCAGATTTATTAAAACGCTAAAATAATATTAACATCAACCTCAAAAAAACAGAATCGTTCAGGCTACTATTTAGATAGTTCTAGTTATACTTGAAGTAACTTGTTGTGGCATGTGTTCTTTGTGTTTATCACCTGCTTTCAGAAAATTGAGAGGCTGAAAGGAGAACTCCACCTTCTGGATGCAGACAGCAAACAAAAAAACAAACATACTTTTTTTGTGGATTCTAAGAAGGAGGGTAAATATAAATGTTTTTTTTTAGTAAATGACGAATAGTGTAGAGATTGTGGCTCATAATAAGAATATTAACTGATGTGCATGTCCTTGTCCTTTTGATTACCTAAAAAGTTCTAATAGTTTGTGTCTGTCTTCTCAGTGCAGTCATTTGACCTGGCACAACACCTCCAAACGGCCCCTGAGCTTGTGGACAGAGTGTACAACAGACCAACTCTGAAAACCCTGGAGACTAAAAGCATCCAGGGAGCTACAGAGCCTCACACTATGAAGGTGTGTTCAGTATTGTGCCTTTGTAACCTTTACCGACAAAAAACTAAGGCATAATTATTGGTCTGGGCTCCAAAATTCAACTCTTCAGAAACAAACTGTACAATTATGTTGTGGTGCTTTTTAAGTTTGTGCAGTTCAACAAACTGATGGGTTCACTGTTTCTCACCGTACCTGTAGAAGCTGGCCAGGCAGAGGAAGCACCAGTACACAGTCCTTTCTCAGAGGATTGACAGAGAAAAGAAAATGTTTGTCATCAGTCAGAAGATCCAGACCCGCAAGGACCTACAGGTGAGGAAGAAGAAATGGTTTCACATCAAAATAAACATTTTGGTTTCAGCTTCATATAACAGTCTTCTTTGCAATGTTTCCTTTGTGTTCCAGGATAAGACCAAAAAAGTGAAGGTAAAAAAGGAGACACCCAATGCAGCAGCGATCTACAAGTTTGAGGCCAAGAGGAAACGCTGAGAGGGAAGTAGTCCTCGAACTGTCGACAGAAGTGGGACTGGCAAAATAATGAACACCTGCAACATGGAACTACAGGACTGTGATTACAGCAAAGACGATAATAATTTTCCTTCATCATTACTGTTGCAGCTATGCAGTTTTGTACATATTTAAGACCTTTGGTTTCTTTCCAATAAAGATCATAAGAACATGCAATTTGATGTGATTTCTTGATTTACAGATAACGTGTTGTTGACCTCTTTTGGGATGGTAGTTTGTGGATTTTACATTTTTTATGTACATGTGTTTTGCCACTGGAGAATGAGACAAAATGATTTGTGAAAGGGCACCTGGCTGAATTTGAATATAGCATGTAGTATGTAGTACATGCTGAAGTCAGCTGAACTATAGACTCTGGCAGTAGATGGTATTTTATTTTTGATCCAGTAGGTGGCATTAGTGTCCTTTATGACACTGAAAAATTTTGTTGGTGGCTGAAGACACGAGCATGCAGTATACAGTAGACTACGCTAGGTCCCAGGTGTTGCTAGTATGACTCACAATTTAGACTTTAAAGTCAAACAGTTGTTACAGTTTGTGTGAGTTATCAATGATGTGTTCAGTCTTAATCACTAAAATGCCCTTGGTTCAGTAAGTAGTGAACTGTTAGTTTTGGACCCTTCATTCACATCACAAACGTTTTGTAAAAGACAACATATGCTCCATTTCAAAGCTCCCACAGAGAAGCCAAGAAATTCATGCATCTGATCTGACTTGATTAGCTCTCAATTGCATGAGTTGTTAAATGTTGCATTCAAATCTCCTCATCAACTTGTGAAGAGAACATATGCCTATGCCGTATTTATCATGTCACTAGATTCATGTATCATTGCATTATTTGCCATTTGTCTTTTATGTGGAAAATGCTTATATGTGTCCTCAGATATCATGGGTTTTATGTGATTTATCATGGCTATTGCCACTTTGTCAGTCATTTGAGGGAAAATTAAAAAAGATAAACTTTGAAATATTTTACCTTTGTTTGACAGAGAGCGCAGACACACTTAAGCTTTGCCACCTTGTGTATTGCCAACATAGACTCAGCTCGCCTTTAGGACTCGACTTAGAATGAAACACATACCTCCAACGGACGCCTATGACATGTCACAGCAGGGTAGACAAAACTGCAGCTAATAAAATTAAGTATGATTTAGGTGTCAGAAAGCATTGACAATAATAATGCTATTGTCAGTGCTTGCTCATTAGCTCACTTTAATCAAAATTACCCATTATTAATTTTATTAGCTGCAGCTGTGCTTGTGCAGTGACGCCTCTGTTACAAGGCTCCCTTGAGTGACAACTGTAACTATTGTACCAGCTGCATCAGTAGGGAGTTATCTTCTTGATGTGATGCTGCCTCATGGGTTGTCAGGTATCCCAGTATTCATTAAATCATAGTTAGCAACCATACTCAGGTTCAGAATATAGAGATAAGCCTTTTTTATATCAGACATTTTGAATTGTTATAATGTCAAAATCACAGATCATACTAATAGCATTAGTACTCCACTCTATTCAGGTGCCATGCAAGTCATGACACAGTGACAGTGAGCCAGCTTGCACAACACAGACCCTGAAACTAAAGGAAACAATCATTTTATTATTTACACTTGTGTTTTTCCTACTGTGACATGTCAAAATGTATTCCAATAAAAACACCTATAAGGGCACCACTTTCCATGTCTTCCTCACATATTTAGTTTCACAGCAATTACAGCATTTTTCAATTTTTTTTGTTGCTAATTAGACTTCTTAAGAAACTTTGGGCTTGTACTGTTCAGTTTGCCTGAATGGCAGGGGGAAGCAGGGATTAGCTTTGATATCTCAGTGCAAGACGATTCTGAGTTTGGCAGCCACTAAGGCCAACTCTTCTATTGATCCTCCACCCATCAGCCCTTGCCAAGTCCCTGTACTGACAGTTGAAGTTGGTTAATTCAACACTTCTAGGCTTTCTGAAATGTACTGTGTAATATGTTTTAGGTAAAGAAAATGTAGCTTTTTCTGTTTTTTTATGATGCTGTCTTCCTCCATCAATCTCCATGTATGTGCATGTAGTGAGTACTAACTGTATGTGTTTACTTTCTCTACCTTATAATGTGAAATAAACTGAAGGCCTAGTGCCCAGCAGCAGATCACAGTGACCCAGGCTTGACTGATCACTGTGGTGGCAGCAGCTTCATAAGCAGGGTCCATCCATCAGTGTCTTCTTGGAGCCACTGGAGGGGAAAAGGGGAGAGAGGGAACCAGACAGAAATGTCACTGGGAACAGTGAGAGGTGTAGGGGCTGCTGGAGAGGGACCAGAGGCCTTGGCCCAAACACTGCTGACCAGAACAAAGGTTGGCCAATAGCTCCAGATGGGTCACAAAAGGGA